CCGCCGCTGGGCAGGGGCGGGGCCGCGCCGGATGGCGGTTGGCGCGTCGCGGCACCGCCCCGTTTCGGCGCAACTCGGCGCCCCCTGCCCCGCAGCTTCCGGGACAGCGGCAAACGCCGTGCCACCGGCGCTGCCGCGGCAGGGACCCGCTGCTGGCCGCCCGCCCAACAGGGCGTTCCCCCTGCCCCCGCTGTGCGCCCCGCGCCCCCCCTCCTTCAGGTCGCCCGCCTGGAACCCTGCTGCTCGCCGCCGCGGCGGCCCTGCTGCGAGTTGGCGGGCCGCCACGCCCTCTCCCCAAGGCACTCGTCAATGCCCCCAGCAGGCGCCGGCGCCCTCGTCACCACCGCGTGCACGCCCCCAGCAGGCGCCCTTGCGCCCCACTGCGTGCGCTCACCGGGCCCGTTCAGGTATAGGATGCCAAACATACTGGCGCATCCGGGGCCGCCCTGCGGCGGACGGGGGGGTTGGGAGGCTGGTTGCAGCCCGGTCGGCGTGCGGCTGGAGGGGCGCAGGCGCGCCGCCGGCCTGCCACGCCTCGTGGTTGGGTTGCAGGCACACGAGTCATGAGATGACTCGCCCGACCGTGTGTGTGCTGTATTGGGGCAGCGGGGGCGTCTACTTGGAGCACAATCTCAGAAGGAGTTGTGGGAGTTGTAGAGCACAATCTCAGCTTTGGCACAGTGCTGACCGAAGGGTGACGCAGCTGCACGCAGCCGCTGACGCAGCCGCCCGGGTGTCCCCAGCCGTCGCCCCGCATCACGGCGGCTGCTCACCTGCAGCCAAAGCACGATCGGCGTCGTCTCGAGGTCGCCCTCGGGCTCCTCAGCTTCAAAAAACACATAGAACAGCTCAGATCCATTCTCCTGAGAAGCTGTGAGGTAGCCGGAGCTGGTGGGGTGGAGGATGTCGACCCCCGCGCGGCGCTCAATCCGTGCGCCAGCTCGTGCTTCGCGCTGCTTCCAGCGGGCGCCTGCCGCGGCGACGCGGCTGGCTACCGCTGCTGCGGCCGCGAGCACCAGGATCATAGTATGGAACCGCATGGCCACCGGCTGGGCACAACAAGCGCCCTTGATGTGACAGACTCGTCAAGAAGGGCTGTGTCAAAGCGGATTCCACGTGATGGGCAGCGGCGTGCCTCCGGGTGTCTTTAAATTAATATATCAGATGTGACATTGGATTTGGTACGTTACATGGCCGCCAAGCCCCTTGTATCCTCTGGAACACTGGGACTGCTGAGACTGGTGACATGCACTTGGCAACGAATCGAATGCGATCAGGCTACATTTTTCATTGTCGTCTCTTGATATCGTGTATTTATTTCTCGCAACAAATAACGATTTGCGGCCGACTTCTTGTCCGGGTGTGATCCATTGCTCGGACTTGCCATTGCATTCTAGCCGCGGCCCCGCGGCTTCTTCATCCCGCCAGCGATACAAGCTGGCTCTTGCAGCACATAAGGGCTGGGCTGGTGTGCTGGGACAGGTGGGATTGTGTGGGGCAGAGGCCGCCACGCTGTGCACGATGCGTGTGGCAGGGGGCGCGTTGACCGCCGCCGCCACACACAAAAATTGCTGGCCACCCACCGGTCTTGTACATTCGAGGGGCATGGATCCACCAATTGAGCAAAGTGCGCTCGCCAATCACCCGTCGCTCAACTCCGCCCACTCGCAGGCCGCCACCCGCCGCGCCCGCAGCCCATCGCCATCCAGCACCGACCGCGCCCGCAGCCGCCCCTTTTGCGTCGCCGTCATGGCGTCTGCCGGAAGCGGCGCGCGCCGCGCGGTTGTTTGGTTCAGGAACGACCTGCGGCTGCGGGACAACGCGGCAGTTGCAGAGGCGGCGGCCAAGGTCAAAGGCGGGGAGGTCGACTCAGTAGTGCCCCTGTACGTGTTTGACCCGCGGTCGTTCAAGGCGTCGCCCTGGGGCAACGTCAAGACTGGGCCGTACAGGTGCGGAGGAGGCCTTCTGTGGGAATGAGGAGACGCAGTCAGGCGAATTGGCCACTGGATGGGTTGCGGTGGTGGCGGTTTCGGGCATCTTCGCTGCAGCAAGGCAGGCACCAAACGACTCACCGCCGACTCGCGCGTGCGCCACACCGCATCTCGCGGAAGGGCCCAATTTCTGCTGGAGAGCGTGGCGGCTCTCAAGGGGTCGCTGAAGGCGCTCGGCTCTGACCTGCTGGTGGCTGTGGGCCGGCCTGAGGACGTCATCCCTGGTGGGTGGCCGACGAATTGATTCACTGCGATTTCGTCCGATTTTGATGCCGCCTGATTGGGATGCATTGATTCATTGTGGCACAGGCACAGATTTGTGCATCAAATTTGGGCTTGTGTGGCACGAGGCTCTTCCAAAACCCTGCACCCTGCGAGACTCCCCTTGTGCAGCATGTATGCAGCCTGCCCCACCAATCGGCGCTGCTGACGTTGACTTCCTCGACCCCGTCGCGCGAACGCACGCCCCCAGGTCTGCTGGGCGATGGCGGGCAGCTGGTGCTGACTCAGGAGGAGGTCACCAGCGAGGAGCTGTCCGTGGACGCCAAGGTGGCGCGCGCCGTCAAGGTGGGGGCCAGGGGCGCGGCTGCACGCGCGCCACGCGTCGCGCAGAGGCGCGGCCGCGCTGCGCAGCGGCAGGCCTTTTGTTGCGGTTGTTCCTGAACCAAACAACCGCTCGTGCTGCTGCCAGGTAGCGCTGTTGCTGGCCTGCCCTCACGCTAGGGCGACTTGACCACTTCCTGTTGCGACCCTCCAACTTCCGCAACCAAAAACCATATGTTCTTGCCGTGCAGCCCCGGGGCGGGCGGCTGGTCAAGCTGTGGGGGTCTTCCCTGTATCATCGGGACGATCTGCCTTTCAAGGAGGGCTGCGGGGACGTGCCTGACGTGTTCACGCCATTCAAGGAGAAGGCTGAGAGGATGGGCAAGGTGGGCGCGGCGGGGCTGCCGTCGGTCGGAGAGGGGGAAGGGAGAGGCAGCCCAATCGGCTTCCTGTGCGCCTGAGTGGCAGGGTGTGACCGCATATGTGTGGATGGGGCTGGTGGCGTGGTTGCACAAGGCGTGTGCCTAGTCGTGTCGGGCGGTTCGTCAGTAGGGGCCATTGAGCGGAAACTAGTCTGGAGCAAGGAGTAGGCCGTGCCAGGAGACTGCAGAGGGACCCGCCCAGGTATCTGCCCCGAACCCGCCCTCCCCATCTCACCAGGTCCGGCACCCCTAGGGATCAATGATCACCTCTGATTACTCCCACTCCTCCTGCCCCCATCCTGCACTCAACAGGTCAGGAAGGAGCTCCCCACCCCAAAGCCCGGGGACCTGCCACTGCCCCAGGGCCTGCCCGACGCCCTCACCTCTACCCTGCCCACCTGGGAGCAGCTGCCGTTCCCCGTCGGGTCCCGCCCCGCGCCGCCGGCGCGCCACCCCAGCGGCGTGCTCGACTTCAAGGGCGGCGAGGCGGGTGCGTGGACGCCACGACGCCTGACGCATGATCCTGGAGCGGGGGCTGCGGGGGACCCCTCATTGCAATAGCGACTGAGTCGCTTGCCGCTATTGCCCACAGGGTCGATTGCTGAGGGCCCGAGGGTGAGGCTGCGGCCGCTGCTTTTCTGCTGCACCTGCCTCACCGCAACCCCCCTTTCCCTAAATCGACCGCCCTGCACCTCCTGTACAACAACCTCCCATACAACAACCCCAGTGGCCCTTGCGCGGCTGAAGTACTACCTTTGGGACTCTGACCTGGTGGCTGACTACTTTAACATCCGGTGAGCGGCTTTTCTGGTGTGGCGGGAGGGGGTGCGCCTGATCAAACAATTTGGACGTCGGGGACAGGAGTTCATTCACTATAGAGTACGTCTCAAGCTGACTTTGCAACCATCATCACCAACACTCGTAAATGCTGCAATCACCGCAGCAACGGTATGCTGGGGGGCGACTACTCGACCAAGCTCGCCCCCTGGCTGTCGGCAGGCTGCATCTCGCCCAGGTGGGTGGACACGCACACCTGACCTGTACCCCCGGTGTCACTTGAGTAAAATCCGTACAGTATCCTGGGACACGTGTGACGCACTGTGCGGGCCCCTGGGGTGGCTAGCTGCCGTGGGCACCCCGCCTGCCTCATTGCGCAGCGCAGCCTTGGGGCTAGGCGCAAAGCCTGGACCCACGCGATCCCCGCTATCCTGTCGCTTCAGGCGTTTGCTGCCACTCCCTTCTCACCTATGATTCGACTTGACTCCCCCTGCATTCGGATGACGCCAGCAAACTCCCTTACTCACATCTTTTTTCTGACCTTTCACCGACCCCCAGGACGATCTACCACGAGATCAAGCGGTACGAGGCGCAGCGCGGCTCAAACAAGAGCACCTACTGGGTCATATTCGAGCTGACCTGGCGCGACTACTTCAAGTAAGCCAGGCCCTCATTTGTTGTATTTAAGCCGATTTCTAGCTTCCTGGGATCGAATTATCTGGCGCCGGCACACGCCGGCCAGCTGTGTCAGGGGTTCGGAGAGTGTCACGTGGCAATGGGCGGCCGAGGCCGTGCTGTCGCTTCCGCCCCGCTCGCGCGGCTTGTGTGAGATGCTTCTCTACCTTACCGACTTCCCGCCAGGTTCTTCGCCCTGAAGCACGGCAACTCAATCTTCTTTGAGACCGGCACCAGTGGGCTGCCGCTGACGTGGACCAAGGACCCTGAGCTGTTTGAGCGCTGGGCCCAGGGGCGGACGGGGATGCCCCTGGTGGATGCCAACATGAGGGAGCTCGCCGCCTCAGGTGCGCCCCTAGTGTGCCCTTGGCAAGCATGGGGAAATGGAGACAGATCAAGGGTTTAGGTCCGGGGTTTAGGGAGCATCTGGGCAACTCTTGAGTTCTAAAGTCTGGCTCAGCCCAGCCACGTTTCAGCGGCACAGCGCCCAGCTCGGGGGGCAGCAGTCCCTGACGGCACATGTCACCCGATCCCGAGCAGCGGCCGCGTTGCCCTTGATGGTGCGAGACTGGCTGGCGGCGCGTCTGCGGCCCGGGCTGGCTCAGCATGGGTGCCGCGTGTGGCCCCTGGCTTGCATGGCCCACACACGCATCCCTGAGGGCTGGGCCGGGTGCCTCATGCGCGCCCCCTTCCCACACTGCCCTCGCGTCGCTGCTGCTGCCAGGGTGGATGAGCAACCGCGGGCGCCAGAACGTGGCGTCCTACCTGGTCCTCGACCTGGGGGTGGACTGGCGGCGCGGCGGGGACTGGTTCGAGCACCACCTGCTGGACTATGTGGGTGGACTGGGCAATCGTACGGGGCTCGGGAATCCGTGGGGCCTGGGCTGTACAAGGGGACTGGGTAGTCCAAGGGGCCTGGGCTGTGAAGCAGGCATCACAGGCTGGGTTGCCCGCTATGCATCGGGGTTGATCTGCAGAGAAGCTGCCCTGGCTGTACCAGTCACCAACATTGAGATCGGGACAAGCGCCTTGCTCATGAGCGCCACAACATGCGGACGCCATGCAGCATGCCTGCCCATTGACCCACAGCCACTCCCAAATCCCGACGCACCCCTCTTCGCAGGACGTAGCGTCCAACTGGGGCAACTGGGTGTCCGCCGCCGGCCTGACGGGCGGCCGCATCAACCACTTCAACATCACCAAGCAGTCCAAGGACTACGACCCGGATGGGGAGTACATAAGGGCCTGGGTGCCGGAGCTCAAAAACGTGCCCGCCCCCAGGATCCACGAGCCCTGGCTCATGAGCAAGGATGAGCAGGTGGGCGGGCATGGACATACAAGGGTACAGCAGTAACATGCTTGCGAGTGCCTGCTTTTGCCCTGTGGGCGTGTGGCTGCTTTGGGTGCACTTCCTCGGCTCCTGATGGCTGCGCTGCTGCCAGTCCGTCTCCCTGCCGTGCTTGGATGGCCTTGCCTCTCTGCTTTGATTGTCAACCCGCTACGCCGCTGTTTTTTGAACTCGCTGCAACGCTGGTCTCCAACCCCCGACCTGCAGGAGCGATACGGTGTGCAGATCGGGAAGGACTACCCCAACCCCATCCCATCCAGCCGCTTCGGGCGCCCGCATGGTGGCGGCGGCGGCGGCGGCGGCAGAGGATCAGGCGGCGGCGGGCGGTACGGCGGCGGCGGCGGCGGCGGTCGGGGCTCCTTTGTGCGGCACGGCGGCGGCGGTGGCGGCGGCGGCGGCGGGAGGGGCGGCCGTGGCGGCGGCGGGCGGCAGTCCAGGCGCAGCGAGTTTGACCGGTTTGGATGAGTAACCCTTAGCATCCCTGACCTACCCTCGCGTCCTTGGCTGCGTAATGTCAGGCCTGGCACTAGTTGCTGGATTCAAGGCGTCTGCCTTGTAGTCATCATTCCTCATAAAGCATGTCCAGGCAAAAGACAAAAAGACATGCGTGTGTGCATATCTCTACTGCACAGGGCTCTGCGCTTGCTCAGTGCATCGCTCCTATCCTGTGGGCCAGCGCCGGGGCCAAGCAGCTGAAGGAGTCACTCATCACTTCTTCTTCGCCGCCGCGGCTTTTTTGGCCGCCTTTGCAGCCGACTTGGCCGCCTCCTCAGCCTGCCGCCTGGCCTCCGCCTGCGCCTGCGCGTGTGTTCAAAAGCAAGCCTTTTGATCGGGTTGAGCTTGTCTTGGCTGCGCAACCCTCCCAGCAAGCAAGACGCCTGTGCGTTGCGCACCAGCAGAGTGCGAGGCCCTGCCCTCTGCGCTGTTGTAAGGCCAACCGCGCTGTTTTTCAGCAGGAGAGCGGCAGCTCACGCACCGCGCCCGCGCAGCGCACCTTCGCCAGCTCCTCGGCCGCCCGCAGCTTCTCGGCAGCTTCCGCCGCCACGCGCAGCGCCTCGGCCTCTTCCCACGCGTCCTCGGACTGGTCCTCCTCGCGCCGCCGCGCCTCCGCTGCCTCGGCGCGCGCGGCGCGAGCCCGCTCCCTGCAAGCGCGGCGCAGTGCGCGGGGGCCGAAGGCGTCGGCAGCGTCGTCAGCGGCCGCAGCTGCAACAAAGGCGTGATGCTCTTTAGGGGGCTAAAGTCACGCGCGCTCCTCTGCGATGCTTGGCGGCTCACAAATTTGCTGGCGTCAAATCAGGCTGCTGTTGCAAATGGGAGGGATGCTCGCTGCATTTGTGCAGCAAATGCACTGCAAACAACAGTCTTGAGGGCAACACCCGCGGCTCACCCTGTAGCTTGCGTTCCAGCAGCCTCTGCTGACCCAGCCCCGCCCGCGTTGCCGCCGCCGCCACTGCCGCCGCCGCCGCCGCCGTTGCTGCCGCCGCCCGGGGGTGCCTCGCCCGTCGCGTGCCGCTGCCGCAGCTGCAGCTCACGCTTCAAACGCTCGCGCTCCTCCGGCGGCCCAGTTGCACGGCTGCACGGTTGTGTGGTGCGAGAGTTGGTGGGGGTCGTACCAAGGTGTTGGCTCAAACCTCAAGCATGCAGCTGGAATGCGTTGTGCTGCACTCCATGGCCTGTGGGTGGTTTCTTTCCTGCCGCATTCGTTGACCCCCGCAGTTGCCTCCCATGCCCTACATGGGTACGCAACTGCGTGGCCAGGCGCCAAGCAACAACCCGCTGTCGCGCCCAGCCAGCGCCCCTGGGCATTGGGCGCCCGGACTGGTCACGGCTGTCACGGCGTAGCTGGTGCATGCACGCCACATAAGTGCACGCCAGCGCCGGTCCATGTGCACAGGCACGTCAGCGACAGACCCCAGCATACGTCACCCCGCCGGTGACCTGCTTGCCACCTGCAACCGCCGACCCAGCCGGTCCGCGGCACACGCGCACGCTGTGCCGCACCAAAACCCTGCCCCCAGGGGTACAAAGCGCACATCAGCCATCCCTTGAGCGGCGCCCCCCGCGCCAGCTGCAGCGGCGTCGCGCCGTACGCGTTCCGCGCCGCCGCGTCCGCGCCGTGCAGCAGGAGCAGCGCCGCTGCGTCGTCGCGGCCGGCTGACGCGGCCAGGTGCAGCGCGCGGTTGCCCAGCGCGCAGACGGCATTTACGTCAGCGCCGCCGGCGAGGAGCGCGGCCACAACATCTGTAAGCCCCTTGAAGCTCGCCCAGAGCAGCGGGCAGTCCCCTGTGCAGGCGTTTGCGCGGCGGGTAACTCCATCGTTGCGGGACGCCGCAGCAGCATCGCTGTTGTTTGTCTGGGCCCCTGCACGCTGCATGGCCCTCTATTCACGTTGCCGTCCATGCAGGGAGATGACGCTTGAGCTTGACATGGCTGCTCACTGCCGCCGCGCTCACCGGCCGGCGTGCGGGCGCTCAGGCAGGCGCCGTGCTGCACCAGCAAGCGGACGCCGTCGACCCAGCCGGCCTGCACAGCCGCATGGAGGGGCGTGACGGACGCGGCCCCGGGCGGCGCCAGCTCTGGGTCGGCGCCCGCCTCCAATGCGGCCTGGTTTGTTGTTGCGGATGGTTGATGGCGGCGCGACTGGGGTGGCTCAGCTGCGCGGTGCCAAGGTCGCTCGGTGTGGATGTGCGGGCGGCGCACCCCACAGCAGGCGAGCGCAGCCCCGTGGCCCACCTTGAGCGCATCTGCGTCGCGCGCCAGCACGTGGCCCATCACCCCTGTGCGAATCGGTGTTGGGACGTGGCGTCTGCAGTTCGGTCGTGCAGCGTCCTCGCCTTGCTCGCAGTAATTGGGCGCACGCGGTCAAGGCGGCACCTTGACCGGGCCTGATGCTGCCGCATGGTCGACCGCAGCAGCGCATCCCCACACTTGGTTTAATAACCTGTGCACCTTCTATCGGCATGTTGGCCTTTGTCCCGCGCCGCTTTGATGTCCTCCCAAACTGATCTGGGGTGTTCTTGTTATTTTGGCCAGTTTTATATGAAAAATAGTCTCACAGGATCTGTGGGTGCCTGCTTGACCTGCTCGGCCGTTTGGCAGGTCCGCCGTCGTTTGGAAGTGCCGCCTCGTCAGCGCATGCTCGTGAACTGTTGTGGACCCAGCATCTTATCCTTCACATCTAGCGCCTCGTTTTGGCGTTTGAGCCCCTTTCACTGAGATCGTCCCGCATCGAACAGCGGAACAGGGACCAGGAACCATCCTCTCCCGGACACGATGGCCGACAACAACTACGGCTCTCCTGACGGTGGTGCTGAGGACACCCCGCAGGGCGAGTCTCACGGCCAGGACCTGTGCCACCGCTGCGGAAAGGTGGGACCCCACGATAAGCTTTCGCGGTGCTGTGCGGTGTCGATGTTGCTCGGGCCAGCCTGCACGCCGACTTTTTCAGGTGTTTGCTGCTGGAAAGGGTCGCCGCCCCTTGGCCCCCCACCGGCAGCCGCCGGCGTTATGGCGGTCTCTGAGCTGTGCCGCGACAGCAGCGGCATGAGACTTGTTTGGGATCCGTGGAGGGAGGGGGCCTGCTAATATTGGCAGCCACAGTGGTACTGCGGTTGAGCGCCGCCCTTCGAACAAGGTCATGCCATGCAGCCTAGCGCCTATGAATGCCAAAGGCCGACACAAGCAGCCGCGGGCTGCAGCCCAGGTTGGGAGCCGCAGCGCACCCCTATGCAGGTCTGCACCCCTCCGCCTCGGTACGGGGTGCTCTCGCAGTCCGCTCAAACCCGCCCGCCTGTTCGCCGTCTTCCCCCTTTCCTCGCAGCCCGGCCATTGGGCGCGCTCCTGCCCCGAGAACCCAGGCGGCGACGGCGGCAGCTGCTACAACTGCGGCCAGCCGGGGTGAGCCCGCGGCCGCCCCGGCAACAACGCTGGACAGCGGCTCCCGACCGTCCCTCACGCATGCAGCTCTTCACAGGCTGTGCCGCAGCCCCCGCCAGCTTTCATTGGTCGCCGCCCTCTCCAGCGCCGCCCTCTCCAGCGCCGTGACTGAATGCATGCACAGCCTCAGGCACGTGTTGTATTTTGCACCCTAAACCCCCCGCCCCCCGATGCGCACACGCCCCACACGCGCGCATCACCCACAGCCACATCAGCCGGTACTGCCCCTCGCGCGAGGGCGGTGGCGGTTACGGCGGCGGCGGCTATGGCGGCGGCGGCAACCGCGGCGCATGCTACAGGTGCGTGCCGGCGCGGCCTGTGCGCTCCACGCGCCCCTTGCCCTCGTCCGCTGCGTGGCGGTCACGCTGTGTGCCTATAGCACGCAGGGCATTTGTGAGCTCTTGGCCCCTGGCTGACTCCTGTCTGCCCTTCATATTCCGATTGCCGCAGCTGTGGTGGCTTCGGCCACGTCGCCGCCCAGTGCCCCAGTGGCAGGTGGAACGGTGGTGGTGGCGGCTACGGCGGCGGCTACGGCGGTGGTGGCGGTGAGTGTGCGCTGGGAAGGGTGTGCAGGTGCCTGGGGCGCAGCAGGCGACGGTTGGCCGTCCTGGCTGACAACGCTTCACTGCCGAAGTGCGTCTTGCTGCCAACTTGTCCCGTCTGGCTGTGAATCTCCATCGCTGCCCTTCCCCTTGGCTTTACTTGCGCGCAGGCTACGGCGGGGGCGGCTATGGCGGGGGCGGCTACGGCGGTGGCGGCTATGGGGGCGGCGGCGGCAACTGCTACCGGGTGAGCGCACCCTCCGACACCCTCGCGCTTTGCTTCTGGCTCTCATCCCCTGGGACACCACTCCCAGGCCCGCCGCCTCCCCATGTCTTGGAGCGCGGCTCGCTGCTGACACCCGCCCGCTTTGCCTGCCGCCACCTGGCCCCATGCCTCGCCGCTGTCCCACCCCTGTCCTCGGCGCCTCGTGCCCCCACAGTGTGGCCAGCCCGGCCACCTGGCCCGCGACTGCATGAACCAGGGTGGAGGCCCTGGCGGCGGCGGCTGTGAGTGGCCGGCGCCTGCGGCGCCTTGTTTGTGTGTGGGACGGGGGGAAAGGGGCTGCTGCCAGGAGCGCCAGGCTCGTGGGCCCAGCTGCTGGCCTCGACGCAGCCTGCAAGCTTTGCTTGGATGCCGCCCCATGCAGTCCATTTGGACGAGCCTGCGTGACGTTCCCGGCCCCTAATGTTGCGCCTGTTCGTGCTCCCGCTCCCTCGCTGCGCCGCAGACGGGGGTGGTGGCTACGGCGGCGGCGGCGGCGGTGGCAACTGCTACCGGGTGAGTCTCGCTCGCACGCAGGGGCGGCCGGCTTCCGCGTCGGCGCTGCGGCCGCGGCATCGCAAGAGCAGATCACTCGGGGGATGCCCGCATGGCAGACATTGCTGTGGTGGTTTGCCCCGCCCAAGCCCCAGCCAAACCCATGCTGCAGATGAGTTCCCACCGATTGTTTGCTGACGCCCCGCCCCGCGCGCGCCCTCGCCATCCCCACTCTACGACACGTGGCGAATTATCGCAGTGCGGCCAGCCCGGTGAGTCCTGAACCGCCCGGCGCGCTCATGCACGCTCCGCCAGCGGCCCTGGGCTTCCCGGGATGGAGGGCCCCATGTCCCTGACGGCTTCCTGCAACCTGCCACAGCCTCACGCCGCCCTCAGACCTCGCCCTCTGAAACGCCGCCGGTCCTGACCCGCCCCGCCGGCCTCCTTTCCCCGCAGGCCACCAGGCCAAGTGGTGCACAGAGAATGCCGGCGGCGGCGACTCCAGGCCACCGGGCGCATGCTACGCGGTGAGACTTCACCCCCCACCCCAACCACAACCCCCGGCCCCGCCCCCGCCCTTTGCGGCTGCGCGCGGCGCTGGCGACACCCGCGTTGAGGAAGGGGCTCATGCAGGGGGCCATGCGTCTGAAGGCAGGGGTCCCAACTTGCTTTGACGGGTCAGCATGCATGCAGGCAACACACACGCATACATGCATGCATGCACTCCCCTGACGGCCGCCCCTCTTGTGCGCCCCTCGCTGTCCGCGCGCAGTGCGGCCAGCCCGGCCACAGGGCCGCCCAGTGCCCCAACGCCCAGAGGTAAAAGTCGATCCCAAGGAGCCCACGCGGGGGCGGGGGCGGGGCGCGCGGCATGGGCCGCCCTCGAGGGCGGCCGCCGCTGCTCCCACCGCCGCGCCCCTGCCGCTCCACGGCGGGGCTGG